ATATTCTGACATACGAGAACAGCCATTGTTCCTTAATTTCTTTCTTAATTCGCAGAATTTGAATCTCGAAATCAATCTAGTGAGCAAGGTTTGACTTATTCGATTAGAAACTTAAGCTTGAGATACATACCATGGTAAAAAAAGACAAAGTTTTTCTTCCAATGAGAATTATGTAAGAAACTGGTGTTTCGTGCGTTCTGGATTGGATCCGCCACTGTTCACTGTAATAAAATCAGCTCAAGTCAAAAATGAATGTTGTATATTGATAAAGTGGCTCTGATATAGAAGCTACATTAATTCATGTTATTATCGTTGTTAACTGTTATTATCACAAATGGGTGTGATTTCCAGACCAGCTTTGTAAACAAGACTTGGATGGGGAGGATGAATGGGGGAAGAAAGGTTAATTTGATGGGAATTTTTCAAAACAAAGTCTCAAGTTTACAAAGTTTTGTATGGGATCGAATTTATAGCATTAGGACGCAATGTATAAAGAACTGAAAGAACAAGCTGTTATGAGTTTCTATTATTTCAATATGGTTTCTTCATGCTGCTTTTCGTCTTCATTCTTTCACTAATTTGTTATTTAACTGTTGTTATGCCATATTAATTATTTAAAAAAAAAGCTCTACGGGTCTTTGAAAGTTGGTGCCTTTTTTAAAGAAATCTGGTCGCCGCGATTTACCTTCGAATGTTACGTTGTGGTATTGTAAACTTCACGTTGCAAAGCGCGCCTCAAACGATTTGTTGTAAGGAATTATTTTTGTCTTTGTCTATATCATATGATGTACGACCTAGTTCAGGTGACATGATCTTCATGGGTGTCAGCTCTTAACAATTTCTCAAAGATTAGCTACTGAAAGCTATTCATACCCGACGATGAGAGAAATAGCAGATATGAGCCATTGCTGACCTCCCGACTCCTTCTGGGGTCAAGAGGCGTCCAAATAGGTATATTTCGGGTACGAGTATAAATGAATATTCTACACATGAAATTGAGTACATCAGAAAAGTTCGTTGGAAATACATTGGTTTGAAACAACACATTATTTTATAACAAAAATCATCAATATCAGGAAATTATCCATAGCTTTGAATAAACTACACTAAGACATTGACGAAAAAAAGGTTGGTTGACGTTTGCATTAACAAAGAGTGTAGGTTTGACCCAATGGTCTACAGTAATATCTACATCCTCAAGGCTTGCCGTACGCAACTGCAGTTATTAAAGGGGACCGAAGAGGTCATGCTGTATTAGAAAAATACCATTCATATTCCATATTCTTTTTTTTCTATTAAATTTTCCCATTTAAAAAACTACAAATCATCATTCGCGACTAATAATTTCCACACTGTCTTGGAACCTATTTTAATTATCACAATTTCCTGACTGGTCTTGAACTCATTTTCGTTCATCCTTTTCTCAATTTATTTACTTACCAAGGAAAAACTGTCAAAGAGTGCAAAAGCGCATCAACATCGCTGCTGACGCCGCAAGAAGTCCACCCAGAGAGTCCAGTGGCATCGAATTTCGCTGACGCCGGCAAACGTCGTAGGAAGCCGCCAGACGCAAACGTCGCCAGCTGCTTCGATCCAAAATCGCGATAACGTTAAGTGCCAGAGGGAGCCGCGTTATCCCGCTGTCTCAATATGCATCTTATGCGTGGAAGCTATCGCAAGCTATGGCTACTGATCGTTACGTGTGGATGACTTAAGCACAAGATTTCGTTGCTCTACATATAAGGGTTTTGGTCTACTCATAATCAACAACTTTGTAGAGCCTCAAAAGTCACCATTTGGAACAGAAAGTGGAAAGATATCAATAACAATGAGCTGTTCCGACGTAACTCACAGAGCCCTCGAGCACTTCATGAAGCTTTCAAAAACTGGAAGAACAGATGTTTCTTCATTACAAAATCGTTTTGCTTCGAAAGCATGTCGGACGGTTTCGTCGCCAGCTGCTCTACGGCACTACTCCCACTGAAATTACGAATATGGATCATCTGGCTTAGATCACATTGAGTTAAGCTCGCGAAGACATTATATCTATTGAAATGATCTCAAACCATCCAACAGAGCTTTCGCAAAGCTCCATGGAGAACTAGCATCGCCTCCTGGAAATTGCCATGCAGGTATCGCGGGACTCCCACAAATCGTAAGCGAAACTTCCAATAAAGTCCTTTTTTCTACGGTTGAGTAAGGTCTACGGAAGCTTGACTTGCAGTTAATAAATGGCTCGCCCAAGACCTTCAATTACACGGTTCAATCGTACCATATACTTACTTATAGACACTTAGATGACCTTTCTTCACTCGTCGTGCAAGTCCCGGCATTGTTTCCACATTTCTGTCTCTCGATGGGTTCATCCACGATGTTGTTATTGAAGTGCGGCGGCGACGTTCGCGAGGTCCAGATCCATTACTCGTTACCATTTAAGAATTCAGCTGGTCCAGCCGTGCAACGAATGCGTCAGCCCATCTGGTCGGTGGCCACCCTCTAGGACGTTCTGCTTCGCGAGGAACAGACCTCGCGGCAGGTCTCCGGAAGGCAAGCTGGAATTCGTTTTTGTGAAAAGCAAAGGGGAAATCGTATGGGACCTGGAGAGGAGCCTAGAGTTCGATGTCAATTATAACCGCTTTTTTCACAACAGGAATGTTAATTCCTTGCAGATTTAAGGATCGTTCAAAAACCTGCTTCAGCAAAGGTTCAATGTTCGTTTCAATGCCGTTTGCACGGGAAATTCAAAAGAGTATCGAAAAATTTAGATAAACCCGTTTTTCTAAGTGAATAGGCAATAAACAGCCACCAAAATCGGCACAAGGAAGAGCAACAAAGAGTAGAAGAAGTGTTTGAAAAATCTTTGAAATATTATGGGAATGAGAAAATCGCCGTACCTTTTTGTGATTTAGGTCTCCGGCGGAGACCTAAGGGAGACCTCAGGTCTCCGATTA